AATGTTCTGGAAGGTCTCTTCTTCCAAAACAACCCTGCTTCATCAATGTTGAATACCTGCTCTGGCTTGAATTCCTTCTCCTTAACGAGTTGCTAAAAGGTCTCGGGATACTTCTCTGCAATTTCTGTATCTGCAGATGCAGCTTCTCATAGGATTTTCCAATTCACAGTTGGTAACGTTTCACAAACTGATCAAACCAACCATTGCTGGCACGAAATTCTTCTGCATCTGATGTTGGCCTTCTTATGAATAATCTTTGTGTCCAAAGAGGTATTTTTATTCAAGTCTTGTATCCAGAATGCTAAGGCAGATTCCATCCCGACGATTGCCTTGTTTCATACAACACTCACCCTCTTAGCACTTCCACAAAAACTCGATGCTACACTAGATATGATTACCTTCTCATTTTTCTTTATGTAATGCATGGTGCTTTCATTTACTCTGTAATGGCACCCTACCGCAGCATAACTTTTCTCTTCCTTTACCATATCAAGCAGTTGTACCTTCTCATACAAAGTCATTACGTTTTTCTGGTACTTAAGTTCCTTGCCAGAAGCTGGAGAAGATGCAGGGTGTATTGGTGGCATCATGAGGCGTAAATAATATAGGGGTACAGTAGTAATTATATAACATGCCAAAAACTTGAATTCACAAATTCGAACAATCATTTATAGGGCATAAATAATACAGGGGTACAGTATAATTAGATATAACACACAAAAAACTTGAATTAACAATTCAAACAATCATAAGGCATAAATAATACAGGGGTAATAATACAGTATAATTAGATATAAGATATAACACCGCAAAAACTTGAATTCAAACAATCACCCTTGATGTTTTAAGGAAAACCCACAAGCGACTGAGGGGAGAACTGTTTGGCCTCTCATGCATGAAGATGCTTGTGACATTACATCGTCTGCAGCCAATCAGCAGGAAAGAGAAACGAAAGCAATGAGAAGTGTCTTGCCAAGAGGAAAGCTTAAGCGAAAAAGGATGCCACAATTCAAAGGAAGAAGTGAGGGAGCCAAAGGTTTCAGTTCGAGTTAGAAAAGTTTTGGTTTATAATTATTTTGATTGGACAAGTGGTATCTGCATTAAAGACATGAAAAGATCTCGAATTTGGGAGAACAGATGAATTTAGGGGGATCGCATAAAATCTAGAATAGTTAATTTTGAGGTCACAAATTATTTTTAAAGCAGCTATCATATTTTGCTATATCTTACATACACATATATCAAGAGTACCTTGCAACGATTTATGTAAATGCTAAATAAGGCAGCATTTTTAAACATAATTAATTAAGGCTCTATATAAAGTTGGTAAGTAATCATCTAGTAATTTGTTAACATGTAGCACTATTCAAGAAATAAATAAACTAAAATTTTTATTATCTCGGCTAATAAATCACAGTTCTAATTAAAAAAAATCAAACTTTTTTAAAACATGTACTGGAACTATCAGCTAGTATATAAAATTAGCTTAAAAAAAACTTCCAATTAATATTGCTTTTTAGAAAAATCATAGATTCTGAGGGAGACAAATATATGTCCCTCTTCTTAAAAAATGAAGTACTTTGCCAAAAGTAATGCAGAATATTTTTGCTCGTTTAAGAGTGACCCAAAATCTAACCCTTTAAACTGACATGGTTAACTTCATAAATTCAATGTCAATCTGAGATAAATTTTGGCTAACCATGTTTATCATGAATCCATGTTCTTTTTCCATACATGTCATTTAATAATAAGTAGAAATTCAGAAACCTCCTCATATCACTGAAAATTCCAATTAACAATTCCAATACTCAACTCGGTCAGCAGTGATGCTGCAGAGTACATCAATCATGCTAATAATTCTTTTCAGTGCAAGGCATACAAAACAATTATTAGTTACAGGTCACAGAACTCCTTTCCTTGAACACTTTTATGGTACTTAACAAACTGTTACGTGTTTAAAAAAAGAATTTTGAAACTTCAGCTATAAGGTATTTCTCTCGCTTTCCTAGCGTGCCTTTTAAACAACATGATAAATTAAATGACAAAAAAGTGTACAAAATATTGACAAATATTAAAACTTGAATAAAAGTAGTTTCTTATATTATATAATAATACATAATGTACAGTATCCCCCCTTTATTCGCAGGGGTGACGTTCCTTTCCCTCATGCAAATCCCGAATATCTGCGAATTATTGATGCAGTTTTAAAATGCCTATGTATGATATTATATTCATTAATATATGCTTTCCAAAGACATTCTAAAGACAGTATTACTCATTGATACAGTAATAATATAGTAATATGTAGTAATGTTAAATTCAAAACAGAAAATTCAGAAACCTCCTCATACCACTGAAAACTCCAATTAAGAATTCCAATACTCAACTCAGTCAGTAGCCAATTTCCCGTGTTTGTGAGCTTCCCTCTAGTGTGATCTTATTACTCCCCCCCCCATGTTTTGTGTGACCTTATCTAAACCCCACTAATATGATAAATTAAACATTAATAACTTCTTTTCATTCACTGTATTCTAGGGTTTGGAAAAACATGAAGCGATGGGTGTCTTTGGGGGCTGACAAGATGCACTTAACCCTTACAACTGTGTAATGTTTTGATGCCAGACGAAAATTATCAAATCAGCGAGTTTGGGGGAAAGGGTAATGAGGTGAGATTAAAATTTTAGCTAAACAAAGACAAATGAAAACTCCACAGGAGTAAGCAAAGTATGAAAAAAACATTAAAATACTTTTATTCATTCCTAGCACAGAGTCATTAAACTCCCAACATGAATATAATATTTAATCATAAACAACTTGTAAATAAGTCATAATAACTATAATATATGTATCAAATTATGTCATAAGCAATTATAATATAAATAAATTCAGTCACCCCAACAGAGTAGAGAAAGAGATGAATGGTGCTGCCATCTATTGGCAACATACCCTCAAAACAGGCTATGGCATTTTTTATATAACTGTATTAAAATCGTATAATCTTCTTTTAATTACCAGTTTTAATTGAAAAGCAGGAGGGTTTAGCATATGTGTGCATATTGAAGATTTTGAATTTTTTCTTCCCTTCCAATAAGAATTTATGATTATGATACCTATGAATGAGGTATACAGTCAAAAGTCGTTAATTCGGACCTCAAAGCTAAAATCTTTCTGCGCATGCGCCGCGTTCACGCATGCTCATAAGCGTTTTACGCGTGCACGCAAGACATTTACGACTGCGCATATGCGTCTGCGCAAGCACAGAATACGTTTTCGCGTGCGCGTTTAATGTATAACAGATGGTATAAGCTAAAATTATCTAATTCAGTTAATGTTGATGATTGCGTTGTTCCTTAATCTCGAATTGGATCCGGCTTATTATTTTTTGCAGACTGTAAGAGCAATTTTATAAAAGTAAGCTTGAACTTTCGATTATGTCAAATAGAATTTCTGATGCTGGAGCTCCCAAAGGATCTAGAAAACGAAAGTATGTTTCGATGTCCATCAAACAAAAAAAGAATTGCTACAAAAAATGGATAAAGTTATATCCTTTGTTTATCTAACCGTTTCAAAATCCGTTTATCAATTTCACACTGCTCTGCGTGGGGGGAGGGGGGGACGTCGCGGCGCGCAATGAACTGAAAGTTGATCTGTCAGCACTATCGTTATCTGCAGGGCAGATGTTTTTATTTTATTCGGCTTATAATTCCTTACTAAATGTAGTATTTAATCTCGATGTACTCCGTCTTTGATATGATTTAAATCAAATTCCTCGTCATTATAAATATCACGAATACAAATCAAATAGTTTTCTGGTTGCAATTTTCTAATTTCGGCTATGCGTAAGGTACGCATGTGCGCATTGAAAGAAATGTTTAATAAAGTAAACAAATACATGTTAAGCTTCTTTTTTTGTAAATTTTGATACCCTTTAGATCATAATTGCTCATTATTTTATAAATTACGGTTTCATATTTTTAATTTTACAATTTCTGCATGCCATCTTACCAGATTTAAACTGATGATCTATAATCTGGAATCGCTGAAGTCCCGACGAGTCCGGATTAAAGACTTTTGACTGTATTAATTTCATAACTGCAAAATATTGAGAATTCATAGGGAAATACTGTCATTTAGAATCAAAAGGAAACATTAGAAACTCACAATTACAGCTTTTGGTGTACAAAAATGATAATTTTTAGGAGGTTAAAAAATTGACAAACTGCCAATATCCTGGTGTCCTTTAAATATCCTTAGTGATTTTATAAACTAGAAAAAGCTTTCTAATATTCTAGGAAAATTGAAGAAGCAAACTTCATAATTTTTAATAGATTATTAAATTCATATTTAATAAAATATGTCTTAATGTAGCTGAAAACACTTCCTTCTAATTAAACTACTCACAACCATATTTTTCACAAAAGCAAATGCACTTTTAGCAACAATAGGATTACACTCACTAATTAGCTATTAATAAACTTAATCTTTTTATCTCATTGCTCATTCTTTGTAGTAAATGCTTTTTTGACTGATTCATTCATTAACCTCCTGAAGCGACATTCAAGCATCCCTTGAATTACTCATTTTTACATATTTGGTTTTCAAAACTGAGTTATTGTTCATTCCTTCCCATTATACATATTTTTAAGTAGATAGCCAGCCATCTTGGCTACTGAAGTTCTAACTTCTGGATAGGTCATCAAACCTTGTGTGTAAGTTTCAAACTGTAATGGTAACAAGCAAAAAATAAAGGAATTACTTAATTTCATATTTTCCTTGCACTGTTTATGTGTACAAGTAGAAAGACTGACAGTAAATATTCTTTTTCAACTTATCATGACTGGGGGATGAGAAAAGCTTTGATCAGATACACTTATCTTATCTGTTGTTCCATACTTTGCAACATTAATTTCAAAGAACAAATTTAAAAAAAAAAAGTAATTTTTATAAAAATATGTTTTTTCCCAATATTTTAATAAAAAAATACAGAAAAAAAAATTCACCTGTTTTCTATCATCCTCTGACACACTTTAGCCATAGTGCCTAGGGTTTCTGTAGTGTTTTCAATAGGCAGATCCTTGTTTTCAGCAACAAAACGCATTGTTGCATCACTAAGGACTTTCAACATTGGAGTTGCATGAGCATAGAATAATGACATTTTATTTGCTAATTCATTCGGCACTTCAAGTTCTTCATCAATTGGCTCCTGTCAATATGTAACAGATAATACTGACAATCAGATATATAACTTCAGTTTTAATAAAATTTAGTTAAATTCATTAAAATTTTTTATATCAATTTTTTTCAGTTGTTTAATCTTTTCGTACTTTTATTCAAAACTTGGAAAATTTACAGGAATGTTTACATCATTTTTCACACATTACTTACATTTCTATAATCCTATAGCAGTTAGCAGCTACATTTATTCTTTTTCATTTTTCACAAAGAACATCCATTTTACATTACTTTAGAGTTAGCAACTATATCTTTTTACAATACCTAACAATATTACCAGATTAATACTACTCAACTTTACATAGTATCAGTGCCCTCTGTTTACAGAGTTAGCAGCTACAAACTACTCAACCTTACATTGTTGAACAACTGCTACAACACTCTCCCATGTAGAAAAATATGTAGTTACATGGTAAGTTAAATTGAAACTTACTATTTACTTGCTTTTTTTGTACTATTTTTATAGGTAGTATTTATTTTATATTATTTTTTTTTCATTTCTATAATATTTAGATTAGTTTTTTACTTCCTTGTACGAAGTAAAAAGGAAGTACTGTAATCGTAAAAAGCTTCAGGCAGCCTATTTCAACGGAATATCCACTTTGACAGCTTTCGAATGCAATTTAACGATGTTTTTGCGTGATATCTGTACGTAAGGACAGAATAAAAGACTCTTTTCCTCAAAAAAAAAAAAAAAAAAAAAAAAAAAAAGCTTTAAAGTGAATTCTGAAGAGAATTTTTCGTGCCGTCTGTACGAACGTACAGAGTGTGCACACGTATCTCGCATAACTCAAAAACGAGTAGCCTCAGAACGTTGAAATTTTGTATATAAGACTACTATAACATGTAGATATGCACCTCGCATTTTGGTTTCAATCGGCCACGCAAACGTATATAAATATATTTATAAATATATCCACTCTGTTACCCGACTCGATGATCTCAGTTTCTTTACTCTTACATGTTTGTAAATTGTACATTTTTTGCTTTAAAAATGATTGAATAATGTTGTTTTTATCTTCTGGTTAAGGGTTTTATGCCTTTAGTAAATCTGTATGCAATATTTTAGAATTATCAAAAATTTTAAAATTGTTAAGTGCCGCTAAGCCTAATTTGATGGCGGCCATTGCTCTTGTTTACATTTGAAACAGCTGAGTAGCGGATTTGTTGCCAATCTAGAGAAACTTAGCTTCGCAACAACAAAGATAACGCCTTCATTTATTACTTAAATCATGCTTAATCCTTTCTGGAATTTTTTCGAGGAAATAAGCGTTTAAGATTTACTCCGTAATTTTTAATACAGATATTTTGAGTTTTTATGTATTTTTGCCTTGTCGCGAAGTGACTGTGAAAAACTGTTTCTTTTTTGTTTTGTTTGCTTAATTTCTTTTACACATAGTTCTAGCTTTATTATAGTATTTGAATAGAACATGTGGCAATGATTAGATAATTCTTTAAATGATATAAATTTTTCTGAGTTATAACATTAACGAAATATAATACTGTTAAGTAAACCTAGCGCCAGAGTGTCGCTATGGTAAACAAAGTGAATTTTAAAGAATGCATTTATTCTATTGTCTTTTATGCACTGTCGGTGAAGTAGGTTTAATTCAATCTAATAAGTTTAAATGAAATGCAAGAAAAAATGCATATAATTTAATATTCCGTACAAGGAAGTAATGTGGTGTACACATCAGTTTTTAGTTTATTTTGATTTGCACGAATAATTCGTGTCAGGGAAGTACCTATATAGGTAAGGTTTCTAAATTACTTTGAATTTGTACTCTTGATTACATTGGCTATGTACTTTTAATTAATTATTTTGTTTTCCTATAGTGGATTTCATTACTAAATTTCTCAAAATTCTTTTACTATTCAATTTAACATTTCACTACTTTCAGTTTTGTGTTAATTCTTTACCTATGCCTATATGGAGGATGACACACAAATTGAGTAATTGAAGAGTTAGGTTTGGAGGCAACTTCCCTTTGAAAAGATGTGTCTCCTGCCTGCTCAACAATTATTCACTTGATGCAAATTAATTTAATTTAAATAAATTTTTTAAAGTTTTTAAGCTAAAATTTTTAGATTATTATATATTTTTTCATGTATGTGCTTGCACTTATGCTTTCTGAATTTAAATGGTTTGGTTTGGTTTATTTAATTATGGCAAAGCACACTAGGGCTATCTGCCTAAGAGATCTGCCTCGTGGAGAACTTTCTAAGGGAAACTGACTCATATACAAGTTATGCATTGGGGAAAACCACGAAAACGCCCATGCAACCAGCCCGTTTGCGGGATTCGAACCTCGGACCGAACTATCAGTGTTCAGCGACTTTACCGCTCGGCCGCTGGTGGGCCCTGAATTTAAATTATACTTTTAATATGCATTATATGAATGAGATAATGATATCGTATTTGTTAAATTCAAACTTCTTTCCTTGCAGCAATGGCATAAGAGAATTATTTAATTTTATTTAACTTTACTAATTAGTTCCTTATGAAATAATATATATATACTGTTGGCCATTAAAACTGCTACACTATGAAGGCAGCATGCAGCAAATGTCAAATTTGCATGAGAGGTACTACAAGCTGGAATATGCAAATGATTGGCATTCCAATACATGCATGCAGTCATCTGCATTGTACATATATAGGAAGATTACACAGCAGGTTTCTCATTTGGAAATCCTACTTGAATTTTTATAATTTGAATAAAAGGAGAAACTTTTACAAGCACATGTCTGTGGTTTATTGTTCTGGCACCGTGTTGGATGGAAACCTATGACTGTCAGGTGAATATGAAATTGACCGAAATCCATACAAGATCTCAGTGAGCCCCAGCTACAAATGCCCAAGGGTAGACATCTTGACCTCTCAGCTTTGCAGAATCATACAGCCATGTCACATGCTTGAATCATGAACTTGGTTTGTTCGCAGGATAACAAGTGTCACAACAGACAATATGATGATGTCTGCAGCACAATGGACTGTTAGCACGACCGTCAATGTTGTGGCCTTTCGTGATATGGCTGTGGAGACAGCTGCACCTACAATGATGCTAATCATGTCACCTTTAAGATATCATGCCATCTTTCATTTTTTCAGATGAATACCAGTTCAGTGCGCAGCATCATGATGGATGTATCTGTGTGAGGAAGCACAAAGGAGAACAAATGGTGTCAGAACAAATGGTTGTCACTGCCATATGAACCTAGCATTTGGTGTGCTGGTATGTGTGCCAATTGAGTCTACATCCAAATAATTTCTTGTTCGCATAGTCAATAACACGGACAGCCTTCATTACATTTTTTATGTGTTAAATCCTGTAGTTATGTCCTAACTTAAAGGTCTGGATAACACCATTTTTTAACAAGATAATATTCAAACCCATGTTGCTCATGCTGTCCTGACCTTTCAAGACAGCATTTGAATATTGCTCTTACCAACACATTCTTCAGATCGCTCACCCAATGGAAACACCTGGTCATGGGTTGCCGAAAGACTGGCATGGCACGACTCACCAGTCATTACAATTGGTGAATTCTCACACAGAGTTGAAGCTCCATGGAATAAAGTACTTATACCTGTCATCTAAGCTGAGTTGCACTGATTACAGCCTTTGTTGCTGCCATAGCTCAAAGCTCTGCATATTAAATTTTGTACACTGTGTATTTCAAACCACCGGCAAATTTGATCATGTCTTCCTCACATTATACTGTATATGTACAATAAATAAGATTCTGCTACTTGCTTTCCTTCTTGGTGTAGAAATTTTAATGGCTAGAGCAATGTATAATTACACATAAACACACACATATTAAAAAAAGCAGATGAAAATTTAGAAATGTTGTTGCATTAGAATAAATAAGATTCTGCTATTTATTTTTTTTCTTAGTGTAGAAATTCTAATGGCTAGAGCTGTATTTAAATAAATACACACACATACATATATATTAAAAAAAGGCAGAAGAATACTTAGAAATTTTGGAGCATGGAAAAATACTGATAAAAAATAAATATTTATCACAACCAAACGATACTGTAATAATTAACAGAGTCAAATTATGTTTGAAGACACTTCTATTCCATAACTTTTAAACTGTCCAATAGTTTAAAAGACAAACAGACTACCAAGTTTAAAAGTTATTATGTGAACGAATTACCAATGAATGCCAATTAAAGATTAATAAAATATAAAAAAACTTAGTAACTAAGAGAGGTATAATTGTGAAAAGTGAAAATTTAACATCATAATCAATCTTAAACTATTATTAAAAGTAAATACCTGATTTGCTAACCGTAGCCGACTGACTGTTCTTCTATAATAACTAAAATCATTCTGAATGGCTGGATTTGTCATCTAAAAGAAAAGTATAAAAATTAAAACTAGATTAGTGATTTTTAATGTAACACACTTTTACAATCAAGAAATAAGTAAAAGTTAAGACCTTTTTAACAGTAGTAAATTTTTATTTAAGAATGAAAAAGATGGTATGATATATATAGTGTCTAAAAATAATGCTAATAGTAGAGTTTTATGCAACTGTTGATGGCATCATGCATGCAATTATGATGCAGCGTTTTTGTTTCGATAAATCAAACATACGAGAATCTGAATTATATCATTCATGCCCAGGATAAAACCACATTTTGATAATCAAAATCATAAAAACAACCTTGTATTTAGCGTAGCTATAATGAAACACTCAATCGATTTCGAGGGCAGCTAAAGGTCCCTCCTCATCAGGAGAAAGAAATACCTAGAAAGAAGAAAATAAAGGAGAAGGAGTCACAGAAACATGTGGTCCTTATCAGCACTGCACGTGGTTATAACTAGATTTTTAATCAGAGTTGCAATGCCTGCCTACTTTTACTGAGCCAGGCTATCTGATCGAGCATGCAAAATTAGCGAAGTTAAAATAGGGAGCGAGGGGCAAATGCACCTTACGCTCAAAATCTGAACTTCAAATAATGGAAAGCAACCACTGAACCACTGAATATTTAGCAGGTTTAGTTAATGATTTGAAGTCCAATCCAGTTCTTCCCAATGCCTTTAAAATTCTACTATCTTAATTCAGTTATTTATGCCGATAGATGGCGTTACCTCCTCGCGTTTGGTACTACCAGAGGGTATATAAAAAATCCGTTCAGTTGGTTGCTTTCCATTTATTTGAAGTTTCAGATTTTGAGCGTAAGGTTGCATTTGCCCCTCGCTCCCTATTTTAACTTCGCTAAGTTTGCATGCTCGATCAGATAGCCTGGCTCAGTAAAAGTAGGCGGCCAGTGCAACTCTGATTAAAAATCTAGTTATAACCAGGTGCAGTGCTGATAAGGACCACGTGTTTCTGTGACTCCTTCTCCTTTATTTTCTTCTTTCTAGGTATTTCTCCTGATGAGGAGGGACCTTTAGCTGCCCTCGAAATCGATTGAGTGTTTCATTATACCTACGCTAAATACAAGGTTGTTTTTACGATTTTGATTGTCACATTAGCGTGTTTCTCTTCTAGTCTAGTTTGTGCTATCAACCGGCACTTTCAAGAATATTTTACTGTTTATTGTTTTACCACATGCACCATTTTATTTACTTTTTTCGGATTTGGTTTATGCTATCAACCGGCATTTTCGAGGAAATTCTATTTTTTATCGGTTTACCAAGTGCACGATTTTGACTTTCGTTGCTTCTTTCCACGTGGCTATTGGTTTTCAATATTGGATGTTTCTCTCCTTTTGGAATGTTTTTGTCATATGTTGATGAAAATTGTCTTCATTATTTATTGGTGTTTTATCATGTTATAAGTAATTACTTGTTTGGACTTTCGGAATTATATTTCTTTTGTTCACTTGTTTCTTGCTTGTGCCCTTTTCACAATATGTCCACTGACAGGAACCGATTTTGTAAGTTACGCCTTAAGCATACAAAATTCTTGAATCATCTACAGTTTCTACTTAAATGCAAACATCAAAATATCATTCCCAAATTTATACATGTGAAATGTAGCCTTAAAGCTTCCATTCAGGTTTAAAAAATTTTGCATAAATTCAAATTGGCACTTCTTTGTCACATTATAAGAGATGCAAACGTTTATCTAAAATTGAATTTGAATTATATTACCTCCATTTAAAAATTGCTAATTCCACTGAAAATTTTTCCTCATTTGAACATACATCCTGGTCTAGAACCGATACCATTTGTCAACGGCATAAAAATGTGCTTATTTCTAAATTCTTTAAACTCACACACCAGTCGGATAGTCCCAATTATCTAGCTGATCTTCCCACTGTAAACGTTAACCCCATCGTTAATATCTCCAATAGGAATCTTTCGGAGGATCAGTTAAAAGTAATAAAATATAATTTTAACTTTTCAAAAACATCTAAACCTTCAATTCCTCAAATCATCGCCCCTATGGAGAAAGCCTTTAAATTCTCCAAAATTTCGGAAATGCAGAAGGATACAATCCGCCACCTAATTACTCATAACGTTAATTTTAACAGCAAATCTTTGGGTTCGAATTATAGCAAAAAAGGAAAATGAGATCTTACGTAAAATTCATTCTGATACTAATATTATTATCTCTAAAGCTGATAAGGGTGGACAGCTCGTTGTTATGGACAAATACCCATATATTATGGGAGTCTCTAAACTGATAAATGAAGGCCCATACTGCTCGATCCCTAAAGATCCTTCAACTTCGGACCTCACGAAAGTAAAAAGTGCCATTAAATTTTCCCACATTCTGCCAACTCAGTTGAAGAAATAACTTATTCCACCTATTACTAAATGCGCTAGACTTTATGCTCTTCCAAAAGTCCATAAAACCGGTATTCCTTTTTGACCAATTGTTTCCAACATAGGTACTGCTTCATATCCTTTGGCCAAATATTTAGTTTCCAGATTTTCCTCTACTTGCTAACAATATTCACACTGTAAAAAATTCTGTTGAAGTCATTGATAAACTTAAAATATTTCTCCACTTCGTTCCATTATGGTTTCATTTGATGTCAAATCACTGTTTACTAATGTTCCGGTCGAAGGAGCACTAAATTGTCTTGAAACTAGGCCTTCGGGAATTTCACTTCACACATACTGAAATTAATGAGTTGGTTTCGCTTACTAAAGTTTCTCTGAGTCAAAACCCACTTTGTTTCCAAAATGCATATTTTTGTCAAAGTTGAAGGATTGGCTATGGGTAATCCTCTCAGTCCCGGTACTTGCTGACACTTATATGCACTATTTTGAGATGAAATTATTTAATAAACTATCTTTTCGTCTTTGGATTCGGTATGTTGACAACACTTTCGCACTTTTTGACGGTTATAAAGAGGATTTATCCAAGATTCTATCTATTATGAATTCAATTGATCCAGCCATCCAATTCACTCTTGAAATTGAATCCAACAATTCCCTCCCCTTCCTCGATATTCTTATAATCCGCAATGAAATTGATTTTAGCACCACTGTGTACCGTAAACCCTTTGCAGTTTGTTTACCAAACCCATGCCAAGTCATGCCACCCTGTTAAGCAAAAAAATGGCTTCTTTTTACTATTATGTATTCCAGCGCTTAAAGTTTGTTCCTCGAATCTTTGCTTACCAATGAACTTAATTATTTGAGAGCAGAGTGTGATGATGTGGATTTTCTCCCGTGATTATTGATAAAGCCGTTAAAAAATTTCAGATTCCATCAAAGACGACCTTTCCACTGTTAGAAATAATATTAATGACCTTGTCGTGCTTCCATTTCATCCTTCTGTTAGCTAATAAAATTGCACGGATTCTCCAGAAATTCAATTTTCAAGTCGGTTCTCCCCTATTAATAAAATTCACCACCTCGATTCTAAAAGATTGCGTTTCTGTCTTGAATTCTTGGGGAATTTACAGTATATCGTGTCAGTGTGGTTTAAGATTTATATCGGCCAAAACGAAAAGAGCGTTGAGTTTTCGTTATTCAAGGAACATTGAATCTTATGTCAGAAAAGGCGAAATTAACAAGTCTTTGATAGCATATCATAGTTGGACTTTTAACCATAATTTGATTTTGGATCTGCAAAAAAAAAATTATCCAAAGGCTTCTTCCATAGGTGAATGGATTTTTTGAGGCTTTTCAATTCACAAAGATTAGCAGGTTTAGTTAATGATTTGAAGTCCAATCCAGTTCTTCCAATGCCTTTAAAATCTACTATCTTAATTCAGTTATTTATGCGATAGATGGCGTTACCTCCTCGCGTTTGGTACTACCAGAGGGTATAAAAATCCGTTCTGTGGTTGCTTTCCATTATTTGAAGTTCAGATTTTGAGCGTAAGGTGCATTTGCCCCTCGCTCTCTATTTTAACTTCGCTAAGTTTGCATGCTCGATCAGATAGCCTGGCTCAGTAAAAGTAGGCGGCCAGTGCAACTCTGATTAAAAATCTAGTTTTAACCACGTGCAGTGCTGATAAGGACCACGTGTTTCTGTGACTCCTTCTCCTTTATTTTCTTCTTTCTAGGTTTCTTTCTCCTGATGAGGAGGGACCTTTGCTGCCCTCGAAATGGATTGAGGTGTTTCATTATACCTACGCTAAATACAGGTTGTTTTTACGATTTTGATTGTCACATTAGCGGGTTTCTCTTCTAGTCCACATTTTGATATTTTTAATGGTGATAAAAAATAACTAGATATTACACTTCACTAATTGTTTTTCCAATCTATTAATTCATACACATAAATTTTGCAGGAGAGTTGACTGAATAAAACTATACTGGTGTAATAAATTAAAAGAATTTTCATATTTGATCTACGATCTCCAGAACTACTGGACAGATTTTTATAAAATTTGGTGTGAACATAGGTTGATGTAATACAAACAAAATAAACATTCAACAGTTATAACAGACACACATGTTTGTGTGTAACACTCATGGGAGTCTGAAGGTCTGAAACAGTGGTTGGAGAAGACAAAAAAAAAAAAAAAGGGGGGGGGGTTAATAAGGGGTTTGGTCTCCTCTTACAGCCATACAGGCCTCACAGCATGATGTCATACTGAAAATAAGGCAGTTTATCAGTGCCTGTGGCAATTGGTCTCACTCATTCAGCAACACTGTTTTCAGTTTCTAAATTGTTCTCGGAGGGGAGTTGCGAGTTGTCTTTCCCAGAGCATTCCAAACATGCTCTATAGGGTTGAGGTACCTGGCTGGCTAATCCATCCCGGCGAATATCCTCACTCTCAAGAAATTCGTCGACCACAAGAGCTCTATGTGGCCTCACGTATCGTCACGTTATCCTATAAGATGAAATTGGGGCCCACTGCACCCCAGAAAAGGTGAACGTAGGGCTCCAAGACCTTATCCCTATACCTCACACCAGTCACACAGCCTCTGTCAAAGACGTGGAGAGGTGTGCGGCCATCCAACATGATGCCTGTCCAGACCGTTACACCGGCATAATTGTTGATTTCGCTGACATTGGAGTGTAGGCAGCATGTTCCTGGCTCTCTCCATATGAAAGTATGGCGAAAATCTGTGTTTAGGCTAAAACGGGACTCATTGCTAAACAGAAAGGTCACCTATTGCTCTGTACTCCAATCACTATGCAGTCTGCACCATGCTAATCGGACTCTCGTGTCTGTAGACGCGAGCGGGACGCAAACACCCGGTCTTCTGGCAAATAATCCTCTCTCATTCAGTCTTTTGGAAAAAGTACCCTTGTTACACGGGTTCCTGTGGCTGCATACAGGTTCCAAGAGAGCTGAGAAGCTGTAGCCCCTCTGTTACGCCTAGCTAAAGTGGACAAATAGTGAACTTCTCTGGCCATCATGGCTCTTGGACGACCTTGCTCAGGCTTTCTCTTGATAGATTCAGTATCCTGGAACTGTTTCCATAGGTTACACATGACGCTGGGCGTTAATTTAAACTCTCTGCATATATGGACTTTCAAACTAATTACAGCTGGCAAACAACTCTTAATATTTCTTATTTAATAATAAAAAATCAAACAATTTGATTCAATTGAAACTTTGACCAGATGTGACATTTGCAGATATGTAAAATTTAAAATACTGTAACTTTTTCACCAAAGAGTGATTTTTTTAAAAATACAACTTATTCATATACAACTAATAAATGAATAATCAAGAGATAAAAATATTTTAAATAAATAAAAATACTTTACTTTTAGGTCATCAAACTTTAACACAAAGTCTAATATTTCTGCAAATTGTTTGACTAGTGCTTGTTGTGTATGCAGATGCTGAGCAGGAGGAAGTGGGCCCGAACACAGCTCCCACAAAATACGAGGAACTACTTCATCTACATTGAAATACAAAATTATTTTGCATAATTGATTTTACAATATGAAATGGTGGACACACAACAATTCCTCACAATTTTTTAGAACAATTTTCAAATTCAATAACAAAATAATTACCTATTTGTTGTGAAAATTCATAAAATCTTTTTAACTTTGATACTAAAGGAAGGACTGCTTCCCAAGCTTTTGCTTGGTATAATTCATTACGAGGATTTGTAATAGCCTAGGGAAAAAAGGTTATATGCATATTAAAGATTTATAAAATAGAAAAATGAAAAAACACACTGATTTACACACACATACAAAAACAAAGTTAAATAGCAATAATAACGGACAATTTTTAAAGATCCAGTAATAATGAAATGCTTTGAAGGCCATAAAAATCTGCTGGTAGGTATGGGTAGATCTCAAGGAATGATGTTAACGTAAATAGTCTGATATTGAAAACAAATTCCATAAAAACTTTATTTGAAAATGGAAATTTGGAAACGATTCTAAATTTTTATTTTATTCCCAATGAGGCTGAAGAATTAACATATATATCTAATGATAATCCTCCTCCTCCCCTTTTCAAAAGTTTCTTGAATACAATGGCTTAGTTACATTCCGCTCATTTACCATGAAATACCAGCTTTACATAAACAGTCACATGAAATTAACTAATGCTTTCCGATTTACAAATAAATCTTCAGGGAAAATTGTTTGCAGATGCTAATATTCATTATACATTTCATACAGGTCATTCCATAAAAAAATGCAATCCACTTAATTAGTATTCCATAAAATATACATAATTTGTAACAATGCACTTATTTCTTACCTTTATTATCATTAATGCAATATATAAAGCTTTTAATTAATTTTATTGTATTTTTAGATGAAGGTGAATGAAACTAGTAGTTTAAAAAAAAGGAGCGCCATTACAGCAGTATGCAAACTTATCTGAATGCATAGTAAAACAGCATAATTTTAATGAAACATAGGGCAAAAAGAAATATAAGGTGACCAGAAAATTATGTTGTATTTTTTGTTCAAATTGAAACAAATAATTTTAATAAAATAGGATAATTTTAGTGAAATATAAATTTAAAACAATCTAATAAGAAATATTTAAGGAGTGCCAGAAAGTTTTGTTGCATTTCTTTTTTGTCAATTCAAAGCAAGTAATTTGAGTTAATGATGTAATATCACTCTCATTATCAGTAATTTTTATCACCTAGTGGGTAGGCTGTTTAATTCCAGATCTGGAGAACAAAGATGGTTTTTGATCAAACAATTTTGATGTTTTTGAGCTGTATTTTACACATAGCTACTGCATAAATATACTGTAGACAAACGCATACACAAAAGTAATGGAGTCATGGTTAGAAGTGGAGGTTCACACAGTTTGATTAGACCTTTTTTCACATTCAATTAAAACAGATCAAATTGATATTTTGTATAAAAACAATGGGGGTCCCATAATAATTTAGCAATGACGTCCCTTCACATCCATGAAGAGGTTTATAAAGTTAACAAAAACTTCAAGAACTGATAACATACTTCTCGAATTTCATTGACAGCTCCTTTATATGTTTGAAGTTCTTGTAAAATATCTTTAGAATACTGTAACACCTCATCAACTATTTCATATGACTCCCGTTCTATTTCTGTCGGCTGAGCATCTAAAAGACAACAACAACAAAAAAAAAAAAAAAAAAAAAGATGAATGTAACACAATTTTTCAGTTAAATTAAGAAGCACTAATTCATTTGCAGTTCATGATCTCCCCACCACCCAAAACACGAACTAAATAACAACAAAATCTAACTTTTATTAACTGTCTACAGCAAATTGTTAATTAAAATAATCAGAAAGCGATAAATGTGGATAGCTACATTATGCAAAATGAATCGCCATATAAACACAGGTAAGTTCTGCAAAAGCAAGGGAAAACTTATTATTTGTTAGAAAGCCTGTTTAAAAAATTTTGAAATTTCAAGCTTATAGATAGCAGGTAAGTTCTGTTGAAAATATAACTGCAACTCTGTAATACAGTGAATGCTTTAACAGACCTTGTAAAAAACACATGAATAACTAGATTTCTATTTGTTTATGCATAACTTGATACAAAAGTTCTGAAACATTTCTATTTTTTAAAAGTCATTATTTTCACCATAATAGTTCAAACATTCAAAATAATGCTGATATCTTGAAATCTGTAAATGGTACCAGAACATTCATTTCACTTTTAAAATGAATTATCAGTAATTTTTATCAAAAGTCTCAAATTACATATTTAAATAAGTTTGCAACACTTTTGAAACAAGCCACATTTATAGGTTCAAGTCTTATGCATGGAAGTTAATTAGGTTGACCCCTTACATCTGTTATGGTCATAATAACAAAAAATAATCTATACATGGATTTACTGATTTCTGCTAAACATGTGTTGGCTATCTGTTTAAGATGAGATAGGCCTTTGTGAAACACTTTATAGAGAAAACTAGCTTACATACATGTTATAAAAAACACCATGGATACTTCAGAAGGAATCAGAAAATATTTAAGAGAAAAAAAAAATAATATACTACTAGCTTCAAAGTCAAAATGTGTTTACTCCTATCTTTTGTGAAATAATTCAGCTAGGCTTAACAATCAATTATATAAATTAATTTTATTTTATTCTATCTGAATAAGCTTTTCAATAAATAGTCAGTTTTAATAAAAAGGACTGAAATACAAAATGAAATTCTTAATATCAGAAATGGAAAATTTATTACACATCTCGATGAAAATGTTTTATATTGAACACATACAGCATTCAAATCCACATTAAAAAGGAACGGTCATTCCAGTGTACTAGGTAATGCATCATTTTGAACAATTATTCAAAAATTTAAATTATTCTACAGATTTAAAATTATAAAACACTTTTAAAAACTGTAATAATACAAGCTGATCGTAATTAAACTTGGCCTATTCAGAGCACTCTGCAGCTGCAACTAAAATGCAGATTGCTTCGAAAATTTGTACATATTAAAAAGATGCGCTAAAAGATTCTGTCAAAAAAAGTTCCAAATAATTTCACTAAGAAGTGCATTACATTGAATTACAAACAAATTAAAAATTTCAATACAAGCATCTTTTATTTATTGCTGACTGTTTGGTGATGTAAAGCATATTGTTCAATGTCGGCTGCCTCGCCAAGTTGTAAAATGTGCAGGCGATGAACAGTGCATTCAACAGCTGACTGCCAGTGATCTTTCGCAGATACAATGCTGTACAGTTCTTCAGGTCAACTAAAGTTGTAAGACTGCACTGATAAACCACGCTCTTTACATGGTACCATAAGTAAAAATTGCGCGAAAGGAAATCAGGAAAATGGGTCTGCCAAGGAGTGGGAAATGAACGGCTAATCAGCTTGTCATCGGTAAAATGTTGCCGTAAAAGTCTTCACTTGCAGTGCCACAATTAGCATTCTTTGTACTGTCATAATTCTTCAATGTGTAAAAATAACAGTTTTAAATACCATAATGCTCGAAAATGTTAAAATAACCCACAGTTATTCACTGCATGTCTTTTCTAGCATTTCGGCTGTCACCTTCGTAATGCACCTCTTAGGGGAAATTATTTTAACTTTTTTTTTCCTTTCTGGAATCTTTAAGTGCATTCTTTGAACTGTCTACCTAGTAAAATTTTGAATCAATCCAAGGTTCAGTTACAAACGTTGTATGGTTGTCCATCTGTTTCAGTTCTGTTACAACCATCTTGTACATAACTACAGCTAAATTTTTTAAAACATTGAAAAATTATACAATTTATTGTTAATGTAAATTGTAATGAAAAAATATAAAATCTTACTTTCAAAATCTACAAATACATCATATTTTGGATTATCATCTCTTGACAAAAGTCTTAAAAGATTTCCCATGTTATAATTTCAAACCTATAAGAAGAATACATAATTAGCATCATTATAAATTACATTCTAAGCTACGTTATTTGAAAAAAGTAATTATTGGCTATGAATAAATTAATAATTCTTTATCTTCAGCTAGAAGATATATATTTTGAATGGCAAAAATATTTGCTTTAAAAAAGAAATAGAAAGGACTAGAAATGTAGAAAAATACAAAACTTGCTTTTTTCCTAGTCATAATACAGTACTACCAAATCCGAAATACGGACGTCCATTATCCGGAATAATCTAAAATCCGGATTCCAAAGCCACACACTTTTTTTTTTTTTTTTGAATGCTTTACGCTGCGCATTTGATTTTTCCTTCCATAATAAAATGTGTGGAGATTTTCACTTAAGAATTCCGATTCTTAATTTCACTTAGGCACTAAATAAAATACATCGTTATTAAAAAAACAATCGTGTGGAGATTTTCACTTAAGAATTCCGATTCTTAATTTCACTTAGGCACTAAAAAAAAATACATCGTTATTAAAAAAACAATCATGTAAGCATAAATTTGTGAGATTAATAATTTGGCTCTGCAGCTGAGTGCCAGCTTAGCATCACATCTCAAACCGAAACATTCACCTATTTTATATCCCTGACGCCGACCTGGTGAGTCATTATTTATTATATTCTGAACCCCGCATGTTTATCAATACATAACAGCTTCAGTAATAACTCATGCAGCGATGTCTAAACTTTTTTATATATTAGTAATTGAATAACATGAGTAAGACAACCTTTTCTGCTAACATTACGCTTGGCGATAATTATAAATTTTTTAATTGATGATTATAAATTTTTTAATTGATTTAAAATGTTGACGAGGAAAAATTCAACAAAAATTTCTTTTCATATGCTAAAAATACATTTTGTTAATGAAACTCATGGGCCAAAAGATTACATTTAGTGCCATTTTAATTAAGAATAACTGATATGTTATTCACCATAAACCCAGAAGCGGCGGCAGAATTTAGGGAAGACACAATTTTTGGAATTTGGCGAAGCATCGAGCGGCAAAATTAAGGGATGTGAAGTTTTTTATAATTTAGGAGGGGGGGGGCGGAAGCACTGGGATCCAAAGTTTAGGCGCGGTGAAAATTTAGAACTTAGGAAGGCGCTTTGTAGCAGAATTTAGAGGCCATATCTAGCCGCCGGCCCTAGATAACGCCTTAAGTATATGTGAGAGTTTATTTATTCAGGACTCAGATTAGTTTTAAGCATGTGCAAGAAATAAACGAAGGTATAGTAAATAACTAATACAATTCAGGCTTAATTCAGTGCGCAGTAGGAGCAAGACAAAAGCAAGACAAAATTTAGTGGAACAACTTTTGGCTTTCGTCGCCAATCTTGTGATACACAGCCAATAATGTATAACGGAAGCTATTAAGCTAGACTAAAATTATCTTTACTGATTCTGCGTTGCTCCTTAATTTTCTAATTTGATGCAGCTTATTACTTTTTGCAGACTTATTATTACAGCAATTTTATAAAAATTAAGCTTGAACTTTCGATTATATCGAAAAGAGTTTCCAGTTCTGAATCTGCCAAAGGATCTAAAAAGCGAAACCATGTTTCGATATCCATTAAACAAAAAGTGGAACTGCTGCAAAAAATGAATAAAGGCATATCCGTCTCAAAATTATGCGAGGAGTATGGCATTGGAAAGTTAACTGTATATGACATACGAAAAAGGAACTTTTTGAATTTTTTGTGGTAGCAACTTAAACAACTTACATTGAAAGAAATGTTTAATAAAGCAAACAAATAAATATTAAGCTTTTTTTTTTTTGTAAATTTTAATATCCTTTAGACCATAATTGTTCTAAAGGATATCAAACATAATTGTTCTAACGGATATTAGAACATAATTGTTCTAAAGGATATCAATCTTAATCTAGGGTTAAACAATCTGCTTGAGATGGATTAGTTTCCCCCCTCATGAATAACGATTTCTAGAGTAGATTTTATTTATTTTAATGATCATGCATTGCTCTAATGTGTGTCATAATAAGTGTTTGCATAATTAGTTTGACAAATTAATGAATTTGTATTGTGAACCACAAGTTATAGCTATAATGTCTTGATATTTTTTAATCAAAATTTAATATATTTCTTGAGTTTTTTTTTGCATTTTTGTATTAAGATTTAACTGTTAAGACTTATTGCATTTTGTCCTTATTTTTATTTAATTATCACAGTTGGAAATTGTGTAAACAACAGTTACGCTGAATAATAACGATAATAAAATTGTACATGTTGTGGTGAAGCCACCACCATTTTGAGAAAGTAGTCCTTCTGGCATGTTCATTAAATAAACTTGCTACACATTGCTGTGATAGCTGCTTCGCTGCTACTGGCTAAAAGAATAATACATAACATGGAGCTTTACACATCTTTTGTTTTGTCACGTGGTCAAGCTTATGATACCTGTTCTTCATCTCTTTCAGAGGTAGCTTGCTGGTGACCGTCATCAAAAGCGCAGGCTTCCAACTTACTCAACAGGTCAAACAGTTATCGCAAATAAGTCAAGAAAACATTCCCTCCAAATCTTCTATCAATAGTAAAAATAGGAATTTAAAAGCGCTTTTAAATGTGATGATATGGAATGCTTGTAGCATTCACGGAAAATTATTGGAACTCACCGACTTTATTCAAAACAATGATGTTGACATTGCGATGGCAACAGAGACACATGCAAATCCTGGTATTAGTATTAACATAATGAATTTCAGATGCTATCGCACAGATAGACTTAGTCACCGTGGTGGTGGGGTAGCGATATACGTAAAGAACTCTCTCCAATCATGCATGATTAAGCAGTACAGAAATAATGGGCAAGAATATGTCACTGTCTCCGTGTTTCTTCCAGGTTATGGAAACACATATTTCCCAGCCTTCTTATAACCCACCCAGATACCCTTTAGAAGCTGATATATTAAAGGACATATTATTCACAAATCTTCCTGTTATATTAGCAGGTGATTTTAATGCGAAACATGAGGAATGGAACTGTCGTAAAAAAAAAAAACAACCCAAATGGAGAACAACTCTTTGAATTTATAAACAACGAACCTGTTTATTTCTTTGCGCCTGAGGAATACACTTATCTTGCACACGACCCGAACAGAGGGACATTCTTGATCTACTACTTACCTCCGCTTCAATTCCAGTATATCTTGAAGTTGTTAATGATCTAAGCTCGGATCATTTACCTGTAATGGCCACACTTGGAATCCTAAAAGACAAAATGACGCAGGAGAAAAACGATTCACAGACTGGAAGCAGTATAATCTGATCTTAAGTAATAGTACCTTCCTGAACACAGCTTTAAGAACCAAGCAGGACATAGACTTAGCTGTGCACCTGTTTACTAATAGTATCATTAATGCAGTGAATACTGCCACCAAGAGCATTCCCATTAAACAGACATCTGGCAGACTCCCCCCCCACATCAAAGATAAAATCAGAGAAAGAAATAGCTTAAGGAAAGCTTGGAATCGAACATGGAACCCGAGTACTAAAACGGAAATTAATAGACTGAATCGTGACATCAAGCAATCAATTCTTCAGCTCAGAAAAGACCTTTGGGACGAGAAAATCATGAATTTTAATGAACCAGACAATGCTTTCTGGTCATTTGTCAGAAATCTAAAAGGAAAGGCTGTAGCGAACAAACCACTTCACTTCAATAATTGCGTGGCTCTCACTAATAAAGAAAAAGCAAACGCCTTTGCAGAACATTTTGAAAATCAGTTTAAACCGAACGAGAGTCCTTGCGACATAGACTTCGCTTATGATGTAAGATACTGCATTAATGACTGGTTTACCTCACAGGAGGACTTAGAAGACAATCTGGAACTCACCTCTCCACATGAAATCCAAGAAATCATACGAAAACTAAAAAACAGGAAGGCTCCGGGCTATGATGCAATAACCAACCTAGCGATCAAGAACTTACCGAAAAATTGTATTGCAAGATATGCCAGTATTTTAAATGCTTGCTTAACTATCAGATACTTTCCGCTTGCCTGGAAAAGAGCCAAAATGATTGTCTTACCTAAAGCCGGCAAGGTTTACCACTCGCCCAGAAGGATTTAGACCTATCAGTTTGCTTCCCGTTTTGGGGAAAAATTTTTGAACGCATCATTTATCATAGAATCCATCCATACTTAGAGAAACTACCAGAAGAACAGTTTTGGTTTCCGAAAAACGCTTTCCACCACGAAACAATTGGTCAGACTTTCTGAGTTCATCGGCAGTGCATTACATAACAGACAAAATTTGGCTTTACTCATGCTAGACGTGGCCAAAGCTTTTGACCGCGTCTGGCACGAGGGTCTAATTTTTAAGCTCCGTTCCCTTGGCTTCACCAAAACTTTAACGTGTCTCATCTACTCATTCCTGAAAGGCAGAAGTTTTCATGTTTCTATTGGAAATGAGATATCTGAAGTCAAAAGAATTCACGCCGGCGTCCCGCAAGGGTCAATTTTAGGTCCGATCTTATATCTTTTCTTTGTGACTGACTTCCCTAAAACAGGCTTTAACTACAATTACTTCATTACTTCATTGTTATGTTATGCAGATGATACGGCGCTTGCTGTAAAATCTATGTGTCCTAATCAAGCTGTCAGGAAACTTCAACAAGTCATGCCGCAAATAGAATTTTAGGTGTACCAAATGGCGTATTTCAATTAACGCAGATAAATCCAAACTGCTCATTATCCGAAAGAAGAACTCTGCCACTGAAATCACAGAAAAGCTTAAACTATTTGACACAGAAGTTCCTAGAGTACGCAAGGCGAATTACCTTGGCGTTATTATTAATGATAAATTTTCCTGGAAGGATCACCTGACTCATGTCAGGGGAAAAACACTAGGAGTCATTCAGAGTCTTAACCCACTTATTAACGAGCACTCTAAACTGGACTTAAGAAGAAAACGGCACTTATACATCTCTGTTATACGGCCAATCTTCACGTATGCTTCCCCTGCGTGGG